CAACAAGAACTTGAAGAAAACAGGGATGCTGATTTGGACTATATCCTCTCTATTCTTCCCTCCGAACTTCATAGACAAATTCCATATTCTAAGCACAGACACGAGATGAAAGGTCGAGAGACAGAATTGTGGTTATCTAAAAATGGCATCCCCAAAAAGTTGATTAATGATATAAAGCCGCAGATCATGGACAAGGTACAACAAGAACTTGAAGGAAACAGGGACGCTGATATGGACAAGATCTTCTCTAGTCTTCCCTTGGATCTTCAGAGCCGAATTACAAAGTATATGCCTATGGCTAGGTTGAAGCAGGTAAGTACCTCCAAACCCATGACTCTAATAATTACTTGCCGCCTTTCCATATAAGCATTTAACTTGTTTACTTAAGCAGTGTTATATAGAGTGAAACTTTCAAAATACCAACACACATCCTTAGTTTATAATACAACACATCCTTAGGTAAAATTAATAAAATTAAATAATTAAATAAAAGGTTATCTATATGATTGCAGATGAGAAGCATGAAAATTAAGATGTATGTATCTCACAAAACACCAAGATCCAGACACACATCACATGAGACTCAGATCTAGAGAGACGCGACTAACAATATTCCAATTAGTATTCTTCTAAGATAAGATGTATGTATTTATTAATTCATTCTATTTCTAGGTGCCCGCTTTGAAAAAAATGGATGAACGTGTGTTGAGAAGAATTTCTCAGCGTCTTAAGCCCAGGGAGTTTGATGACGATTCTATCATTATTGAAAAGGGTGAACCACTTAAAATGATGGTATTCATTGTGGACGGACTTGTATCCATTGAAAAGAGAGATGGTTCTTCTTCTTCTAATGATAATTTGCAGCAACCAACTCGAGGTGCAGGAGAAGTATGTGGAGAAGAACTTCTACGTTGGCCATTGTCGTCGATCCTATTTTGGGCCGGCGAATCTCCCTTGGCAACCGAGTCTGCTAAGGCAATAGGTCATGTTGAAGCCCTTGTTGTCACGGCTTTCGACTTGAATAGAGTGCTGATCGATAGGGACTATTTCGTTGGGATGATGCGTAGAACATTTAGTGCAAAAGAACTTGAGAAGGCAACAGACAACTACCATGAAAGTAGAATCATTCGTAAGGACGAGGATGCAACCTTTTACAAAGGGGTAGTGCCCATGCCAGATGATGATAAAACAGTGGTTGCGGTAAAGAAGTACGAAACTAATAAAACATATGCAGTTATTGAGGCGGCTGTTGCTTCTCAGACCAACCACATAAATGTGGTGAGGTTCTTAGGTGGTTGTGTGGTGGAAGAAGAAAAAGAATCCGCACTGGTTTTTGAGTACATTCCCAATGGCACCCTTTTTGAGCACATTCATAAAGAAGAAGCAGCAGGCAGCTTTGAAGGATCATCATCGTCACCAACTGCTCTACTTTCATTGGAGTCACGACTCAAGATAGCGTCAGAAACAGCTGGAGCACTAGCTTACTTACACTCACTCACTCCGCCAATAATACACCTGTTTTTGTCGACAAAACATGTACTATTGGATGATCATTACACCGCAAAGCTGTCTGCCATTGGACAGTGGCAAGCAGCCTTTCACACATCAGATTTATTAAAGGAAGGATACACGGACCCTCATTTTCGAAGAGACGGACTAGCAGAAAAGAGTGACGTCTATAGCTTTGGAGTTGTCCTAGCGGAGCTACTAACAAGTCAAAAGCCAGCTTCTCCTAACAACAGAGGGGAAGAGCCACCCCTGGCAACCTGTCTTCTATCCTCAATGAAAGAGGATCGCTTGAATCAAATTTTGGATGGTGAAATAATAGTCAATGAAGCAACTTCTAAGACGGCCAAAAAGGTCGCGGATTTGGCAAAAAGATGTTTAAGGTCAAAAAGGGAGGAAAGGCCTTCCATGGAGCAAGTAGCCGTGGAGCTTGAGGGATTGCGCAAGTTTATGGCAGAGCATGAAAGGGGACAACCCAGTTTCTCAATCAGGCCAAACTCTAATTAGTGTTGTTTGCAGATGCTTTATTAATCTAATTAGTGAATAATTCTCTGTTAATCTTGTCCTCTTGACTCTAAGCATTATATTAATCAACTCACCACTAGTGTCTTTTACGCGTTGGTGAAGAAGTTGACAACGCTGGATCCGAATCATAAATTACCTATTGCCCGGGCCCCCACAGAATTCCAAATTGCTGTCTGCGGCTGCGGCTGTGACCGTTTTCTTCAGCAGGGCTTCTATGCCTCCTATCCCCATTCTTGTCCCCTTCAACATCGTCAATAGGAATCCTACTGTAATCAGATCTGCGATCCTGTGGGGAGGGTCTTCTGCTTTTTCCCCGCTATCCGCTGATCTGGATCGACTGCACATTAAAAAAGCAAAATGAATAATTGAGTTTAAACAGAAACTAAACTGAACAGTATGCTAGGCTTTCTCGTGATATCATAGCCGTTGATATCAATGACAATAACACCCACGCGTCCTTCTCCTGCCAGTGAATGGGACAAGTCTTTGCTTCACGTGGGCGCTACGCTTTCCCGTGAGGCCCGCTTCAGTTTTTGGGCTGCAACCAACCACACCCATACATTTAAGACACTGTGGTTGGGCTTCAAGCTTTAGAGCATCCGCAATGATGCTCTCTATTTCTTAGCTAAAATTTAGCTAAAAATATAAGAAATCTATTTTAGGAGCTCTCTAAAAAATTTCAACTCCAACCATATTCCCTAATTAGGAGAGTCATAAATGCTATAACTCTTTTTTGATTGGTCTATCTCTATTAAAAAATAAAATAAAAAATAGTTAGCATTAAATAAATGTTTGAAATACTCATTAAATAAGACAGCATTAAATTATAGGGAGCCACTATGAGTACTTTCTCTCTCCTCAGATTTAGGAGCTCCTGGAGGACTCCCTATTTTAGGAGGTGGATAGGGAGCATGGTTGGAGTTGCAGTTTTACTATTCCTCCCTAAAATTTGTCTAAGGAGGTGGTTTAGGGAGCCCATTGCGGATGCTCTTAGACCCCAAAACAGGTCCATTGGGGGATTCAGTTTCTAACTGTTGCAGCCTAATGATGGTTGTTGAGCTTTATTTTTACGCATTCAGCTACATTATAAAAGAGAATTTGACTTTATGCCAATCGGGTCTAACCCCATGAAAAATAACCTTAACTTGCAGAATAGAGGTCTCATGTTTAAATCCCCAAGGCATTATAGTTATGTGTGTGTGTGATAAATCACCCTCATAAACTAAAACCAACTACAGTACTACTTTTATTGGAGTTTCGACTTAAGATAGCGTCAAAAACAGCTAGAGCACTAGTTTATTTGCACTCATTCACTCCCGCGCCGATCATACACCAATGTTTGGCGACAAAATATATACTATTGGATGATCATTACACGGCAAAGTTGTCTATCATTGGACAATCACGATTGTTCAATGAACCTGACTTGAGTTCAGATTATATTAGCTCAATTTCGAAGGAAGGATACTTTGACCCTCATTTCTAAATGACAGACTGGCAAAAAAGAGTGACGTCTATATAGCCCCTACCCAGTCTCTGCAACACTCTACTCTCCTCCACCAAATCCAAATATTTTTTTTTGTGTTTGTTGAAGAATTGATCCCAAAATTGATTTGGGGATCATCAAGGATTTAAGTGCTTGGTTATATTTCTGTTTTTTAATTAACTTGGAGTTTCTTTTGAGGAGGATATGCACAGCATAAACCGCTCCTCTGTTTTAGTGACTTCCCATGCAAGTTCTGTAGCCCAGTTTCTTATTAGATTCCTCTGTTTTAGTGACTTCCCCTGAGAGTATAATTTCTGAAAAAAAATAGCCCTAATAATTAACCGTGACAGGCCAGAAGCCTCATGGAATCCACTAGTTCTATGAATGATGAAGTGATAATCATTAGGTTGGAAGTCTTGGTAAACAAAGAGAAGGGAATGCTTTCCTTTACAGAATATTAGTGTATTAAATCCATACTTGTAATGACTCGGTATATTTATTAATTAGGAATTGGGGTAATCAAGAATGAGAGTAATGAAGAATCGGTAAGCATGAATCAGAGTCAACATTCCAATTAAACTCCTTACTAGATATTAGGAATCATAATGAAAAATAAATCCGATTCCCATTAAAACCGTTTACTATTCTAAAGAATTGGAATCAAAATAAATTTGATTACCAAAATACCCTTCTACAAAAAGAAATTTTATTTTGTTCAACTACTTATGCAAGTTTTCAAATGACAAAAATTGTGCAATGTAATAATTAACCAACTTTTTATATATCACAATGATAAAATAGAATTTAATATTTGTAAAAAAAAAATTAATTTTTTTTTATGTTTACTTATTTACTTCCAATATATCTAAATATATAAAATGATATAACCTCTATCGCGAGTAACTGGATCGATCGAGAGAACGTTCGTGCGCCACATCCGTGGCTCACTCTCTCCCTTGCAGTTGGAATCTCGTACAATCAAGGGGAGCGATTTCGATCACCTAGCTGGCCTTTTTTTGGTAGGTAAGATCGCTGAAGTGTATGGAAGGAACTCGAAGTATAGCCGTGCAGCTATACCGTATAAATAGAATATGTTAAAAGTATAGCCGCTCGGCTGTACTATATGAATACAATATGTTAAAACAATAGCCGCGCGGCTATACTATATAAATAGAATATTCTAAATGTATAATCGCGCGGCTATACTCTATAAATAGAAGTCAAAAGCCACATCGAAAACTTGACTAAATAAAATACAAAATATAATGAATAGTTCTACTACTAATAATACCGATGCCTTTTGTGATAAAACCCCACACCTACTGGGCTTTGTGGGTGGTTAAGTTAGGAACAATATCAGTGTTGTTAGTAGTGGGCCGCTGGCCCGTCGTGTTGAAGAATATGAATCCCATATCAGAAACTTGACTAAATAAAATACAAAATATAATGAATGGTTCTACTACTAATAATACCGAGGCCTTTTGTGATAAAACCCCACATTTATTGAGCTTTGTAGGTGGTTAAGTTGGAGATAATATTGGTGTTGTTAGTAGTGGGCTGCTTGCCCGTCTCTCTGAATTTAACGAAGTGTTGTGATAGTGATGTAATTAATGAGGTGGTTGTTGCTTCTCTGATTAACCACATAAATTTGGTGAGGTTCTTAGGTTGTTGTTTCGAAGCACAAAGACCTGTACTTGTTTTTGAGTACATTCCCAATGGCACAGTTTATGAGCTCATCCATAGACAAGAAGGCAAAGGATCATCGCCACTTTCACTAGCGTTACGACTGAAGATAGCGTCAGAGACTGCAGGGGCACTAGCTTACTTACACTCATTAACTCCCACGGCAATCATACACCGAGATGTGAAGACAACAAATATATTATTGGATGATAATTACACGGGAAAGTAGATGGACTTTGGATGTTCACGATTGGTTCATGATGATGTTGATCAACTGTCAACTTTAGTGCGAGGGACAGTCGGATATTTGGACCCTCAGTATCATCAATTATGCTTACTAACAAAAAAGAGTGACGTCTATAGCTTTGGAGTTGTCCTAGCGGAGCTACTAACAAGTCAAAAGGTATATTATTCAGAGAGGGATGTGACAGAGAGATAGCTGGCAAGCTTGTTTATATCCTCAATGGAAGAGGATCGCTTGAATCAAATTCTCGATGGTCAAATAATAGTCAATGAAGAAAGTTTTGAGACAACCAACAAAGCGACCCGTCTGGCAAAAAGACTTTGCCACATTTAAATGTATGTGTGTATTAGTGTGGTTTCACCTCTGGACATTTGATGACTTGGGTTAGTTTCTGTTTATATTTGTGCTTATAGTTTTTTCTATGTATACATCTCGTGTGAAATCATGTTGATGATGTTCAAATGGCAAGTTGTTTTTAGCTTTTCTCTGTATATAATTTATTTTCAATCTGTATGTCACTATGTTGGACCGGTATAATATATCTAATAGGACAAAATTAGCTTTTATAATAATTGGCTGGTCTGAGATAGCAGTGGATAAGATAAAGCTTTGGAATGAATAGCCCTTATAATTCTACCACTTTCGGTTTTAGCCTTGTCCAAATTCCCCCTCTTTCTTACTCCCCCTTGTAGAAAGCTTTAATTAAATAGCAATTTGCGTGTTACACGTGAGGTTTATTCTTTTTGCTTTTTTAATGGTCATTTGGGTCAGCAACCAGAAGATTATGTATGCCCTGAATCTTTGATTTTTTTTTTTTCTGGGGGTCATTTTAGCCACAATTATTGCTCACAGTGAAGTCGCCCCTGATTCACTACACTATAGTAGGAGGGAAGACAAAAAAAGACCTGGGGATAAAGTTGATCATATGTCAACACTAAGTCACAGATTATTTTATATAGCAAATAATTTTTGATCTAGACTCTAGTAAGGAGTTCATCGCATCTACTTATCATTTAAGGAACTTAAACGGACTCTTAAAGGAGAGACTGGAGAGATTGCCATATGGGTTGAATGTTTCCTAAATTTCTTTATGTACATCCTCACTAGTCATGTAAATATCAATATTTAATCGTGATGAATGACATTACTTGGTAAAAGAGACTAGGTTCTTAACTCAATCAACCTTGATGAATGGCAAATGTACATGGGCAAAATGATCCATATTACAATAGAGTAGGCATATACTAAATATTCTTGAGTTATGTTTTTGAAAAACAAGAAAAGAAATATTCTTCGTATTTTCATCATCATCTCTAAGTCTAATCTAATTATCTAACTTGTTATTATTTAGGTACTTGGAGCTATACGGTATTTTTTCGCTTTTTAACAAATAACCATTTGTTGTCATGATGCATGTCGAAAAAAAAATGGATTTGGAAATAGTACTTTTGGCTGTAATGAGCATCACACATTCAGAAATATCAAATTTCTTAATGATTTTTGCCCTATAAGTCTAGTGAATACAACGCTCTTCGATTTTGGTATATATAGTACAATCCTTCAGTCTGGTATACACATCTAGCAACAAGATGTTTAAGGTATGAAGAGGAGGAAATGCCTTCCATGAAAGAAGTAGTTCTTGTGGAGCTTTGGGGGATTGAGCAAATTTATGGCAGAGTATTAAAGTGGAGAAGCTAGTTTCTCTTGATCAAACCACCTTGTAACCAGAAAATAAAAACAAACAAACAAACAAAAAACAAGGTACGTACATTTGTTAGTTAAAGACGACTAGCTATATACAGTAATTGCCTTTTCATGGTTGCATCAGATTCTTATGAACAGCATAACCACCAAGGATTTAATTCACATAATACTTGAAAATTCACTACTCCCACCAAGGATTTAATTCAAAGGACTTTCATAGATTAGGCGCAGACCAAAACCCAAGCAGTAAAAAAGTCAGGGAAGGATCTCATGATCATAAACCTGTAATAGCAAGCTCATGATTAAGAGGAGGAAATGCCTTCCATGAAAGAAGTAGTTCTTGTGGAGCTTTGGGGGATTGAGCAAATTTATGGCAGAGTATTAAAGTGGAGAAGCTAGTTTCTCTTGATCAAACCACCTTGTAACCAGAAAAAAAAACAAAAAAAACAAACAAAAAAACAAGGTACATAAAGACGACTAGCTATATACAGTAATTGCCTTTCCATGGTTGCATCAGATTCTTATGAACAGCATAACCACCAAGGATTTAATTCACATAATAATTGAAAATTCACTACTCCCACCAAGGATTTAATTCAAAGGACTTTCGTAGATTAGGCGCAGACCAAAACCCAAGCAGTAAAAAGTCAGGTAAGGATCTCATGATCATAAACCTGTAATAGCAAGCTCATGATTATTTGCAAAACTGGTTATAAGAAGGAAAAAAAAAAGTGTTTAAATTTGAGTGAAATGAATTGGTGGTGTGAAATAAGTTGGGTATTTATAGGAAAAAAGTGTCTAAATTAAAAATAAATAAATAAAAAAGGAGCCGTTGATTTGCAAAACAAACAAGACACTACTACAAAAATGGAAAACCACGACACCCCTTTAACGACAGTAAAACTAAAAAACATCGTGTTTTTAAAAACCATGAAAAACCATGACGGTTCCATTTAAAACCGTCGTGCTTTAAAAGGTGCTAGCAAAAATTACGACCGTTTCTCCTAAAAACTGTCGTGTGTTAAAACACGCTAGACAAAATTTTCACTTAAAAGTTTTGAATTTTCACGGCAACTCTCTCTCTCAAAGAGCCTCTCGCACGACCTTTTCAGAAACTCCCTCTTTCTCAACTCCCTTTCTCGTCCCTGCAACACCATCTCCATCTTGCCGTCTTAGTCACCAAGCTCGCCATCCATGTCACAGATCTCGGCGTCGAGTTCACTAAGGTCGCCATCTTCACGAGGACACCTCAACGATCTTCGAGATCTCCTTCATGGGGCCTCTCTCGAGCCCAATGGTCTCTTATCTTCCAGGCTTCGCCTTCTCTTCCTCTCTTCGTCGACCTGTTCTCTATTAAATTTGAGGTTTTGTTTTGGTCTTTATCTGACTTTTGCTTGGGTGATTTCAGAGATCTGCAGGCAACGCTTATTGGTGGTGGTTACAAGTTGGATGGTCGTGGTGTGATAACGATTTTGTTAGCCATCGTGATTGGGTCCAAGTTTGGCGACGTCCAGTTGTGAGTGTATATGTGCTTCTGTGTTTGATTTATTTCAATTTATTTTGCTTTTTTTTTTATATAATTGTTTTCTGTTTCCTGCCTTTTATGTTTCATAGAGCACAGATCTGCTTAGGTTTTACACAAAATCTGTTGATATTTTGCTTTCTCCCTTTCTGCTGGTGTTGATTGAGATTTTTATTTTGTTTTGTTTTTATGTCTGAAGCTGTAGCAATGTGACTTTCGTTGAGGCTGGCTGACACTAATTCAAAATTTAAATAAAAGCTTGAATTACTTGTGGTTTAAAAGTGTGTCTAGAGTTGGTAATTTGAAGTGTTTATGGGGGAGGGTTAAATTAAATTCTTCAACCTTGTTATGATGATCATTTGGTCCAGATTTAAGCTTCTAATGGTAGTTTAATAAGTATTCTTCTTGGGAGGATCTAAGAATTTTGTGCGCATTTGAGGGTTGGTTTAGTTGAATTCATGTTTGTTTTGGTTTGGTTTTTATACATATGCATGTTCTAGATTCAAGTTTGTAGGTAGTTCATTTGTTTTTCCTTTTTACCAGGCAATGCTAGTTTAGAGGCTACTATGGATTGGATATCGTTGATCATGAGAATGACGTCGACATTGATGAGATGCCGTTGGTATGATTGTTATTGTACTTGGTTGTGCATCTTTATTACATTGCATTCAGATTTCCATTGCTACAACGAACATGTTGAATTAGTGGTGTTCGGTTTTTAAAGCATGAGACAGATAACAAAAAATAATTTCCAGTGGGATTTCATAGAGGATTTACTCTCAACTGGTCAACTACTCACAGGTAACAGTGGACATTAGCATTGGATCTCCGAAACCATTCTATATCACAGAAGGGATGAAAATAAAAGCACAGAAGTTAAGGTTACTTTCTCATCATCCTTATGGTTACATTAAATGCACTTGTGCACACACAAGTTCTCTTAAATTGCTTGATGTTTGAAGTTCATTTGTGACCTTCGTATTGAAGTTCAGTAAACACTTATACACTTCGTTGTGACTTTCATATTGAAGTTTATTTGGATGGAAAAGAAACCAAGCTTGGAATAGGTTTTTTTTTTCTTTTCCTTTTGTTTTCCTTCTCTTTAGTGTTTATGGCCTTGAATGAAGTTCTGTTTAATGTTTGTCACATCTCCAATTGCAGGCTTGAATTACTCTTTGGGTGGGACATCATGAAATTACAGATATAACTTCTTTGAAGTATTGCCTTTTCTTCTTTTTGTCTTGCTGGGATTGGGTTTTTTTTTTCTCTCTATCTTAATAACTTGTACTGGCCTCCAAGAGTAGATGTCCTTTGCTGATTTACTAATTGCTTATACCTTGTGTTTTTTTTTATCCCACGGGTCCTTATGCGTTTGAATTATTCTTCAGTTTTTTTGAACGTTAATGATGGCCTTTCACTTGAGAACAAAACTTGCTGGTCTTGACAACTTTCAGCCATATGTATTGCTCTTTTTCTCCCGATGAACACGTGAAGGTAATAGTTTGTCCAAGTATATTGTTGTGCTTCTTTTGTGAGATCATGCTCTCACTCTTCTTTTTTTATTTGCAGATTTATAACTTTTTCTTTTCTAGGTTTTCTATGGTCTTTTTTATGCGAGTCCTATATTTGTTCTTTGAAAATTTGTTACCTTCTCTTTTCACCATAATTTTATTTATATATTTTTTCCCTTTGGTAGGTTCTCTATGGTCTTTTTTATGCTCATTTTTCTATGGAAATATAGTCCAATTGTAAAATTTCTCTTTCACCTAATTTCATTTGTTTATAATCTTAGTTTTTTTTTTCTGTCATTTTGATTTATTTACAGGGATGATGGAGGAGATTTCAATTGTGCATCATTTGTATGTTTGGATGAGAGGAAGGCTTGGATTAGGAGTACATAGGTCTTGTTAGGAAAAGATTGTACTACTTAATTACCATGTATCAATTGAATATTTATATTGTATTGGTAGGAAGTATGTTTGTTGTAGAATAAAGATTAGTTAATTATGTAATAACTATTGAATCTTCAAGTTTTATGAAAGAAACAATTTTTGAGTGTGTACATATATTCATTAATAAAGCATTATGGTTGGTTTTCTAATTAAAATCGTTGCATAGCATCATAGGAAACCAAAAAGAACTAAAATGTAATAGCTTGAGAATTTATTAGACGATGGTTTTTATAATAAACCGTCGTCTTTACATATAATTAATGACGGTTTTTATAAACAACCGTCGTCTTTATATGAAAACAACGACGGTTTGTAACAAAAACCGTCGTCTTTACATGTAATAGACGACGGTTCTTTTAAAAACCGTCGTCTATTACATGTAAAGACAACGGTTAATTACTGTCGTAGTTTGACATTCAAAAAGATGATGGTCGATTTAACGACGGTTTGAAAAAGAAAAAGACGACGGTGTTTTCCCGTCGTCTATTTCAATTTTTGTAGTAGTGAGAGCTTTCTTCATGGCCGTTGATATCAATAACAATAACAGCTAGGCCTGGACACAGTCCGGGTTAAATCGGTTTCACTTCAAAACTTTGATCGAATTAATTACAATATAACAATTTGATTCGGTTCGGTTTTGACAAAAGTCATGAAGGAAATCGAACCAATCAAACCAATTTAAGATGGTTTGGTTTAGTCGGGCTGGGCCTAAGCCCAATTCTCCTTCTTGTTGCATTTTTTCAACATTATTAGCCCAATTACAACCAACAAATTCACAACTTGCTCCATACTTGAATCATTTTCTAGAGTATGAAACCATCCTAAAGCTCAACATATGTCATAAAACTTCAAATTTCAATAACTAATATAGCTCATTTCAAATATTCATATATAGTTATTACCTAATTAAAGTATTATACATGTAAAACAAAACATAAATATATACATAAACGGTCTAGTTTGGTTTAGATATGTTTATAAAAGCTCAAAATCAAACTAAACTAAAACATATACGATTCGATTCGAGTTTTAAGCCGTTTGACTTTTTCTTAATCAAAACTAAACCGATAATTAAAGTTTGAATTGACCGATTTCATCGATTCGGCCAGATTGATTCCCACCCCTTATAACGGCAGTGAGTACTTCTTCTGCCATTGAATTTTTTATTTTGGATTGGGAGAAGTCTTTGCTAGGCTTTCTCTTGAGGCTTGCTTGGGTTTTATGAGCTTCAAGCATTAGAGCCCAAAACAGCTCCATTGGTGATGGTTTTGTGGCTTCAGTTTGTAATTGTTGCAGCTCCATGGATGATAGGGTTTAGGGTTGTTGAGCTTGATTCCACTGGAGTAAACCCATGCTCATGTCCTTTATGGGTGATAATGATATTGTGCTTGTCATCTAAGTTTTCGACATTTTTTCTTTAATATAAGCGATAGTCTAAATTATAGGGGAGAGAGATTTCTCACACACACATATAACTATGATGTTGTGGAGATTCGAACCTCAAATCTTTGATTTGCAAGTCAATGCTCTTTTTCACTAAGCAAGATTCCATTGACAAGTCCTCGGCATTAATTTTTTTTTTATTTTTAAAAACAAATGAACGCAATAAAAACAAAGAAATAAATAAATAATTAAATCCAATTATGCACATCAAATGGGGTCGTAGTGTCAACAAAGTAGTCGTCATGTTATTATTTGCTTTTAAAAAGTAAAGCATTTGTCTATCACTTCACTTACTACTCTCTGCATGGAATTTTATCAAATAATAGAGACGACCGGATGTTGACCCATGAGCCCACCTCGACCCATACCAGTCTTTCTGTAGGAGCCTTTCATTTTCAAGCCTCAATTATTTTCAAGCTGTATGTCACTATATTAAATTTATCTAATAGAACAAACTAGGTTTTTGGCTTTTTGGGTCCGAATTTCCATTAATTGTTTGGTTTGAGATAGCAATGGATATTAAGATAAAGGAATGATTTTGTGTACAGTGGCCCTTTGCTGTAGTACTGTAAGTTATAGATTAAGCACTTAAATAATAGAACAGAGAAGAATACTATGCATATAGAGAGTTTCAATTCAAACATCCTTCAAATATACTTATTTGAAGAAGGGTACTATCTGTCTAATAGAGGTGAAGCACACTAATATAATGGGGCCTATCTCTATTAGAGAGGTGGTATACAATGTGGTATAAAAATGTGGTAAGCTTAGGGCCCGTTTGATAACCATTTCAATTTATTAGTTTTTAGTTTTCATTTTTTGTGCTAGAGTATAGAGGAAAAAGAGGGAGAATGGAATTGAGAATGAGAATAGAAATGAGAATGAGAGTGGAGATGATATTGAGAGGGGAGATGAGAGGAGATGATGAGAGGAATGAGTAACAAAAGTGAAAATAAAAACTAAAAATTGAAATCTATTAGAAATTGTTTTCACTTTCAAGTATTTGTTTTCACTTTTGTTACTCCTCCCTCTCATCCTCCCTTCTTATCCTCTCTCTCAATCTCATCATCACTCTCATTCTCACTCTCATTTTCCTCTGTACTCTAGTATAAAAAATGGAAATACCCTTATTAAATGTATTCAATTTACCCAAAAAAATTTCACAACTTTCTTACCATCTTATTAATTTTTTTTTAACGTCAATGATTTTTTTTAAAAGAAAATGTCAGCTTTAAAAAAAGAGAAAATGCCCCTTTTTTTAACGTCAAGTTTAGACATTTTTTTTTCTATCTAAACCCTTTGTGTTAAAAATAAAGGGGGAAATTTCCTTTTTTTATTTATTTATAAAATAAGACATTTTACTAAAAATTAAAATTAAAATGATTATCAAATGGGCTCTTAGTATTTTCCTTTAAAGAATACTCACCTCGCGCCCATCACACCATATTTTTTAGGGAATTTCACTAAAACACCCAAAATGGGAGCTGAAATTATATAAAAAAACCAACACCCAAAACACTTTATAAACACATCCAAAACCCATCATTACACACACTCAAAACCCATTTATAAACACACCCAAAAATATATACAATTGTTGATTTTGGGGTTGATTTTGGGTGTGTATCTATGTTTAAATAGTGTTTGGGTTTTTTTTATAAATACATGTCTAGGATTGGGTTTATTTATAATAATCTATATTTTTTTTGAAAATTTATTTTCCCTAATTTCGTACCTGCAATTAATGGGGTGTTATTGACTCAAACTTTTAGTGTGCTCCCAAATGATTATGAGTTCAAGCTCCATGATTTCCGTGTTTGTGAGTTTTCCTTTTCCTCTTCTTAATTTTGGCCGAAAAATAAAAAAGGTATCATACCTGCATTATTTAATAGGGGAATGCTAGGGGTGGGCATTCAAACCGGCGAATCGGAAATCCGAGCCGAACCGCACCGGTCCAAACTGGAAAAAAATTGAGTTGACCAAAACGAGCCAAACCGAACCGATCAATTAAAAAATATATAATTTTAATATTTATTTATATTCAATGCTATATTTTTAATCTCATAACTAATATTTATCCAAGTTCAATTTCAAAATATCTTTCTTTTCTAGCTTTAATATTTATTTTTATATGAAATTGAATAATTTGTTAATTTTCAAGTAAATAAAATAAAATTTCAGTTGAAAATTGTATTAAAAAATCATTTTAAAAAAATAATTTTTATAATCCGGTTCAAAACCGAACCAGATCGGAACCGATTCAACCCGAATTGAACAGTTTTTGAAATTTTTTTATTAAAATCGAACCGATCCAAACCGGATGAATAATACCGGATCGATTCTAATTTGAGGCAAAAACTGGTCCAAACCGAACCGTGCCCACCCCTAGGGAATGCTAGCAACCTTCTCTCTAACTTTCTCTTTTGGACCTTCCCTCTTCTCTTCATGACATGTGTCACTTCTCTTTCACTTAAATCAATGTTTTTAATTCCAGAAAAAATAATAATTGTGTTTCCATATTTGCCCTTGATAAACTAGTCCAATTCTCCTATTTCTTTTATCATCGTGGAAAACACAAAAACTAATTCTTAAAGATAAAACAAAAATCAGACCCAAAAAAAAATAAAATTGGATAAGTGTGGAAATATGAAATTTTTTTTAAAATAAATAAAATTAAAGTTCTGAACGCAGAAACAAAAAGAAGTAACTGAACGCAGAAAGTGAATAGCCACCAAAGCTACACACCCAACCTCGTCTTCCACCCCACCCCGGCGGCAGCAAAGCCTCTCCTCCTTGCCGCCAGCAAAGCCTCCTCTCATCCCTCTCTCTCTCTCTCTCTCTCTCTCTCTCTCCACACCAGATCTGGATCTCTCTCATATAACCCTTTGACCCAAAATATGTAATTAGAGGTAGAAAGCATGTATCAGATTTCCTTCGATTTGGTACAATTTGGCGTTATTGGCAAACACATGTTAAGAGCAAAAGATGACATGTATTGCCATATCATGACATGGCGTTATTGACAGATGACATGTGTTGCCATATCATGTGCCACATGTGTTGGTATCCAAAAATTAGTAAATAAGTTGGTGCCCGTAGCGTTATTGGAAAAAAAAAAAAAATCAAAAGAGAAGGTTAGAGAAAAAGTTGATAGCATTCCCCTTATTTAATATCAATTAGGACAAGTGCTCACTCACCTGCTGCCAAAAATAAATCTCTCCTTTTAATGACCGTGGAGCCCAGGTGCATTCAAGGAGACTCAAAACGTGGCAGAAAATAGTCCACACAAATAGGTCACGTGGCCCCGCAAGAAGACATTTACCATTATAAACTTGACGGAAAATACAGTGACTTCAGTTGTAGAAAATTTGAGATTTAAAAGGGGTTTTGCTCCATCATTTGCAAATTCACCTACCAAGATCGGATTCAATTTCTGTAAATTAAAAAAAAAACCAGAAGGTTTGAGTTTTACATGGCTAACGGTGAAGTAGCTATAGCTTTGGAGAAGATGGAAGAGAAAGCTGAAGCAATTCCAGTTGCAGACAACTCGAAAGAGAAAGTTGCAAGGTTAGTTTGTATATATAAGTACAACTTTAACATGGATGCACTATTTTCATTTTTTCCTTTCTTATATCAAACAATGTAAAGTTGCCACTACAGAACAGAACCTTTTGTTGTTTTGAGGACAGCAAGGTTGTGTTTGAATGAGGGACTTCTTCACTTCTTCAAAGTGATGAGCGTTTGAAGTGAGGAGATTTCAAAGTGAGAGATTAGTAAAGTCCCTTGTTTGGCTAATTATTTTATTAATTGGATTTGATTAGGTAAGTTCTTATAAAGTCATTGCGATGCAATAATCTAACCACAGCCAAATTTTTAATTATCTTCAAACGAGCTGATAGGCGCAAATTTTTTTTTCTTCTTTTTCTCCAGTAGTCATTCAAAACCAGAGGCTACAGTGGAAAATTCAGTCATGAAAGATGAACATGGATCAAGTAAGAAATGGTCACCAAAAGAGGAGGAAGCTCATGATCCTCCTCAGGGGTGCTTCCTTCAAAAGTGGAAGAAGATATTTGTAGCGTCGTGTCTGTTTGCTGTTTTATTGGATCCATTGTTTCTCTACGTTCCTATGATGAGGGATGAAATCAAGTGCCTGCTATACGACAGAAACTTGAAGATTGCCGCTCTTCTTTTAAGATCAGTCACTGATCTTTTCTATATATTGGACATCATTTTTCAAATTTATGCATCACCCAACTATTCTGATGTCATGGATCTATATCGTCGTATTAGGCTGTACTGCTCGAAAATAAGATTTTGGAGGAAATATTTTGTGCCAACAATTGCTAAGACAATCTTGGGGTCATACAATATCTTAATTGACATTATGGCCATTCTTCC